TCATGGGGAACTCAAATCTAGGATTGTCTGTTTTCTCTCCTAAGTGCATTCTAGAAGTGACTCCAAACTATAGGCCTTTACCATAAAGAGACTGGGGAATTTAATGATCTACCTAGCCTGTGAAACCTTTGATTTTTAGATTTAAGACAAGGTTGTCAAGTAACTACCACCTGTAGTAAATATATTACAAAAGTATTTCTTGTTGCAAATACATCATTTAATTAATGCTTATGTCAAAACTGGTCTGAGAAATTCATCTTCAGCCTTGGATAATGTAACTTCCTTTTAGTCAGAGTCTATATTCTGTTCTTTATCCATTTTGTTATTTCTTGAACCCAAATATCCTGTCACTCTTTGCTGCTTATACTTTTAAAATGATACTTGGAGTTACAAATACCTACCTATGCACTCTTTAGTTTGAGCCATCTCTATTACTAGACTCTAGACACAGTCCCTACTTATCGGTGATTTCAGTACCCACGATCAACCAAGATATGAAAATATTAAGTGGGAAATATCAGAAATAAAAGTACTGTAAGTTTTAAACTACAGCCCATTCGCCTAAGACATGAATCATCCCTTGTTCGGCATGTCCACACTGTGTACACTACCCACTTGTTGGTTACCCATAGTCATCAAAGTTGTCAGATCGACTCATGGCATTGCAGTGCTTGTCTTTAAGCTTACTATTTTACTTAAAAAGGCCCCACAGAATAGTATTAGTGATGTTCACAATTCAGATATGCCAAAGAGAAGCTGTAAAGTACTTCCTGTGGTAAAAAGTGTAAAAGTTCTCAACATAAGGAAGAATAAACTGCTGTCAAGGTTGCTAAGATGAATAGTAAGAATAAATATTCTATCTGTGAAATAGTGAAGAAAGAAGAAATTTATGCTAGTTTTGCTGTTGCACTTTACATTGCAAGAGTTAGGACCACTATGCATATTAAGTGCAAGATGATGGTAAAGTCATGAAATCATAGGGTTTGGCAATGCCCACAGTTTCAGTCATATATTAGGGGCTATCTTCCAGAAGTTAGGAGGGGACTGCTGTTCTGTGGTTTGTACCACTTTGTATTTCCTTTAGAAAAACAAAGTAATCAGTTTTTATGTGCTATTGTGTTCTTTTCACTTGGACTTATTTATATGTTTTTCCTAATCTCTGTATCACATACAATACTGAGGGTTGTTGAAGTTGTTGTTGTTTTTCCAGCAATACTGGAACTGAACTCAGGACCTTGTGCTTGCTAGGAAAGAATTCTGCCACTTGAGTCATGCCTCTATCTCTTTTTGCTTTAGTTATTTTTCAGATAGAGTCTCGTGCTTTTGCCCACGGCCACTGTGCCTCCCCTGTTGCTGGTATTACAGACATGTACCCCCCACTGCCTGGCTTGCTGTTAAGATGGGGTTTTGTCAGATTTTTGCCTGTGCTGGCCTAGAACCAAGATCCTTCAGATCTCCTCCAAGTAGCTTGGATTACATGCATCTGCCACTGCACCCAACCCAATACTAAGGGAGTTTTGTGTGTGCATCTTATTTTTTGTGGTCCTGGGTCTAACCCAGGACCTTGTACATACTAGGCAAGCATTCCACTACTAAACTACATCCTCAGTTCAGTAATATATGTTGCTATACGCATATGTGAGTTTATCCCCTATCAGTATCTTAGAGTCAGCTTCTACAGTATGATAGCTGTTGAACAGTAATTGGCTAGTTAGGTCTCATTTAGTTGTCAGAACTTAATTAGAATAGGCAATTCATTTTCTTGTTTCAATAGACTGCTTTCTGCTTTAAACACATTCAGTAACATGGTCTGGAAAGTCTGAACCAATACTCCTATTTCTAGGATTGTTATCAGCTTGGATCGAGCTGTCAGTTGGAAACTGCAGGTTCAGCTGATGATGCTAAATTGTATATTAAGGTTTGGTCACATGAAAATCCTGTGTGTTAGCTTTGCCCTAGCATTTTAATACTCCATATCTGAACAGATATCCCCATAGTTAAGATTCAGATATTTGCACTGATGAAAAGAAAATCCTGTCCCTGATTCATGTGATAGGGGTCTTCCTTTCCAGTCTTGCTTCAGTTCACTGTCGCTGATGATATAATGTACAGCAGAAGTATGTTAAGTGTATTTTGATGTAATGGTGATGTTAGGCAAGCTAACTTTGCTTTTATGAATAATTAAGTCTTGTGATTGTGATTTGCTCTAAAGAAAAATAAATTTTATAGTGGAGCATACCAAACTATAATATATAATTGAGATCCTAAAAATATACAAAATAAAACCTAAAGATTCCTGTCTGTTTGGCTTTCTGGATAATCTGGGTCAGCCTTCTTTAATAGAATTTACTGCAGTGGTGGAAATTTTCTGTAATCTGCTCTCTGGTATAGCACTAGCCACTAGCCAAATGTAGGTTTCTGGCACTTGACATGTGGCTGATGTGACTGAGAAACTGAATTTTAAATTTTGCCTAATTGATGCAAATTTAACCAGAAGGACTAGTTGACAACACAGATCTGGATTAATTTGGTTAGAAACAAAAGAGTCAAATGTTTTTAATCTACCTGAGTTTCGGTCTACTACAGGATTTCCAAAACCCTATTTATGTAGCAGTGATTTAAAAAAATGAAATTATGAAAAATCATATTCTTGCAAGTAACATGGGTGCAGAGATGCTAACATCTAGAGGTTTTCATAAGATCTGAATATCCACTTATTTTAATTAGAAATGTTATGGAAATAATATAGGGTAAAATGGGAAAGAAAACAGTGAAGTAACACAATTCTACAAATATTTATTGGAATCATCTGGTTTGGTTACTATGTTACACTTGCAATAAGAATGGCAGATACTTGGCAGCCAAATACTTTTCCTCTTCGATCACAAACTTCAGTAATGGATGAGTAGTCTGCTTTTTTCCCCCACTTAAGTAGAAGTGTGTAACATTAGAATATTCAGTTGAGTACTCTGAGCATAGGTGGCATACAAGAGGAAACGTGTTAACTCTGTATCCACTATCTATCCACTTAGAGGTACAAAATTAAATAGAAAAACATGTGCCTCCACAAGAGGATAAATCATATTTTCATAGGGGCACTTTAATAGGATCCATACCTGTTTAACAAATAGATTATGAAGTATACACAAAAAATAGTAGGAAAAAAACGGAGTTATCTGCAGCAGAACTTTTTTTATTGTTTATACATTTATTCATATGTGTATACACATATCTCTTCCCCCTGCTCACCTCCCCCTTCCCCTCCCTCTTCCTCTCCCCCTACCCCCTCGCTTCCAGGCAGAACTTGTTCTGCCCTCTTCTCCAATTTTATTGAAGAGAAAACCTAAGAGGTAAAAAGAAAGACATAGCATTTTTGCTAACTTGAAATAAAGATAGCTATACAGAGAGATTCCTAGCATTGCTTCCATACACAAGTGTATTACAACCCAAATTGGTTCATCTCTACCCGACCTCTTCACTACTTCCCGGTCACCTTCCCATAGTGACCTCTTGTCAGTTTAAGATTTTTTATTAGCTCCTCTACAGTGGCACATCAAACACTTTCAAATTTTGGGTTTCATACCTTTCTCTGTTCCTCCTATATGCGTTCTCCCCTTAGCATGTGACCTCTGTCCAATAATATTACTGCAGTTATTTTAGACCTAAAGTCTACATATGAGGTCTTCTGAGCCTGGCTAGCTTTGCTTAAGATGATGTTCTCCAGTTCCATCTATTTACTTGCAAATGACAAGATTTCATTCTTCTTCATGGCTGAGTAAAATTTGATTGTGTATAAATACCACATGTTCTTAATCCATTCACCGGTGGTGGGCATTTTGGTTGTTTCCATAACTTAGCTATTGTGAATAGTGTGCAGCAGAATTTTTTAACCTTCATGCCACAACCTTTTGGGTATCATGTTTAAGAATACCTGTAATTACGTAAAAAAGCCATTTATCTAGGGAAAGGGCCTATAGTTTTCTGGGGGGTAAAAAGGGAAATGGATTAGGTCTACTTGCCAAGTGAGGGATGATCGAGATAGGATTCTAAGGAGTGATGGCAGGCTGGGTATTAAAAAGACTAACCTGGTATTTTCCTTTTTTGGTGGACAAGCCGAAAAAGCTAATGTAAAGGCCTAAAAAAGTCATGAAATAGTATGCTGTATGACACACATGAAATTGGATATTACTGGCCGTAGTGTCTTAGTGATACCTGGTAAAAAAGGCCTTGCCTTCTAAGCACTTGGAATCCAAGCATAGTAGGAGTCAAGCCAAAGAAAAGGAAAAAAAAAGACAGGAGACAAGTTTTGGTATTTTCCTTATGTCATTATCAACCTAGCTTAATTTGATAAACTTGTGAGTGACATTTTATAGTAGAGTATAGAGCAATAGTTCATGACAGCATACCTGAATACCTAAGAAAGAAACCTCACATTTCCATCACCATGGGAAAGAAATGCATTCACTGAGTGATAGTTAATCAATGTTGTTGGTGACTTTTAATGTGTGGGCTTTAACTACCAGTCCCTAAGCTTTTGATAGAATGGCTAAATTATTTATGAAATAGGACTTAAATAGCCTAGAAAAAAAACTCATGTAAAGGCCTTATCTTTTTATATTACTTCAAACCACATGGAATTGCTGATGTGATTTTTGAGCTACGAAAGTGGCACTTTCACATGGTTCAACCAGTACATTTAATAATCCTTTATGTTCACACCAATGTGCTCTTAATTTATTTGTTATTAAGAGTGGGTGAAGGGGGTCTCTGCCATTGTTTCTTACTGCTTTTACTTACAGTCATAGTAAAGATAATCTTTTCTCTAACCTTAAATGTGGAAGACATATCAGTAAGCTTAGAGTACTTGTAACTCTAAAAACAAAATCCAAAAATTTTTATTTCTTTAGGAAATCTAGATCTTGCTTTTATCCAGACATCTGTGCGTGATTTTTGTCAGTGAATTTACACAATAAATGATTGCTTATGGTTTTTTCTGTCAGCTTTTAGTTTGGATGCTGAACAGCCTGATTATGATTTGGATTCTGAAGATGAAGTATTTGTGAATAAACTGAAGAAGAAAATGGACATCTGCCCATTGCAATTTGAGGAGATGATTGACCGACTAGAAAAAGGCAGTGGTCAGCAGGTACAACTTCATTTATGAATAATAAGTGGGCATGTGTACATATTCTATACAAACGTGTATTATATGGAACTGCATATTGAGGGGGGCTAAACAAGCTGGTTTTGTAGTTAAAATGAAAGAATTCACATCTTCTCTCTTCACATGAAGAATCTTAAGCAATATGTTTAAATTTCTTTGTGCCTCAGTTTCCCCAGAAATAAAGATTATAAACACCATAGAATTTTTTGTGAAAAGTAAGTAAAATAATGTGTGTAAAGCACCCTATTATATGAAAGTGACATAATGGTTTTACATTCAGCCAGTCAGTCTGCAGGAAGCCAAACTACTGCTAAAAGAAGATGATGAATTAATTAGAGAAGTTTATGAATACTGGATTAAAAAGAGAAAAAACTGTCGAGGGCCATCTCTTATCCCTTCAGTAAAACAGGAGAAGCGAGATGGTTCCAGCACAAATGATCCTTATGTGGCTTTTAGAAGACGCACTGAAAAAATGCAAACTCGAAAAGTAAGTGAAATTGTGAATATTTTTGAAATTATTTATAAGAAAAGTTATTTATGGTCATTAATATCTTAATTCTATAATTTGTGTTTAAATAGGACTTTGTTTAAAATTATAATTGAAAAATATTAAGTCAACCTTGAGAGTTATAGTGGAGCTGTTAAGGATATAGTGTAATGTTAATCCACTTGAAAATTATATACAAAATTGATTTCTTGGTGATCTGTGCTCCCTTCCAGTCTTTAAATTTTAACTTAACCCTTCAGCATCAGTAACTCTGCTCACAAAATAACTAGTTAGAAGTGCTTATTTTTTTTTCATGTTTGAAGATAAATATTTTATTTACCAGTAATACCCACCAATCACAAGCAAGAAATGTCAGTGAGTTCTAATAGAAAATAGTATTTCCCTGGCAACCATGTCTATGTAACATGCAAGAGAGCCATAAAGGCTACGGTATCTTAAAATTTTAATGCTCAGCCTCAAGTCTGAGCCCTCTTCCCCGTGAAGTCCAGAGCATTCTTTTCAGCTCAGTCTGAAGCCTTGTTACTATGTTCTTCATGAAGGGTCTAACATTAACCTTCAACTTAATGAGTGTTTAGAAGTGCTTATTGATGTTAAATAAGCAACCTTATATTTTCAGAATCGCAAAAATGATGAAGCCTCTTATGAAAAAATGCTTAAGCTGCGGCGAGACCTAAGTCGGGCTGTAACTATTCTAGAGATGATAAAAAGAAGAGAAAAGAGTAAAAGGGAGCTATTGCACTTAACACTGGAAATTATGGAAAAGAGGTAATATATTTTAATAGCATTAAGAAGTGTGGTACCAGTAACATTTTATATATTGAACTAATTAATTTCCTAAGCAATTATCTATAATTAAAGAAATATTTTGTTTTAGTAATAATTAAAGGTCATTTAAGTATGTAGTATGGTATTACTTTGTGTAATTTTTTACATGCATTCCAGTCTTTATTATACACAGCTCTGTGACAGAGAGCACATTTGTCAGTTACAAAGTTTTAATTTTATTCAAGTACTGATTCTTGAATAAAAGATTTTCTCCACTCACCTACCCCAGCCCCAAGACCCATAATCTTAACACTCAGATCTGTTTGTTGAGGTGCACAATGAAAACTTCAAGACTCGCCACCCTACTTCTCAGTCCCTGTCCCCATCCCCAAAGAAAATCACTGTTAAATTTCTTGTGATTCCTTTCAGAAAAAAGTTTCATAGCATGGATAATACTAATTAGCAGGAGGTTTCTTGGTACCATTTTAGGCTTTCATTTCAACTTCACCAAATCTATCACCAAAATTACAGTTAAAATTCCAACTTTTGACTGGATTTAGTGGTTGTATGCCTATAATCCCAACTCCTCAGGAGGCAGAAGCAGTAGAATTAGGAATTCAAAGCCAGCTCTGGGCAAAGTTAGGGAGCTTCTATCTCAGAAATAAAATACACAAAAAAGTGCTGGTGGAGTGACTTAAGAAATAGAGCATATTACATATATGCGAAGAGAAAGCTATGAACCAAAAATGTAGAAGGAGGAAACAAAAGGAATCACTTAATCTGTTTGTTTTATTGGTATTGGAGTTTGAATTTAGGGCCTTGAGCCCTGCTTGACCCATGCCCCTAGCCCTTTAGTTATTGCTTTAGTTATTTTATAGCTAGGGTCTTCTGCTTTTGCCTAGGGCTCACCTCAGACCTTGATCTTCTGTCCACATAGCTGGTTACAGGTGTGAGCCACCACCACCACACCTACCTTGTTCTTTGAGATAGGGTCTCACTCACTTTTTGCCCTGGTTGACCTCGAACCACAGTCCTCCTATTTGCTTCCCAAGTAACTGTAATTATGTGCATAAGCCACCATATTCAGGTCTATTAATTTTAATAGACATTCCACAGATAGTTGTGATTTATCTGTAATCTTACCTAAGTCTATTGATGTTTATATCAGTTATTAATAGTCGTAAGGATAAGTATTTAAAAACTGTGTAAACTGAGCATAGTGGCATATGCCTATAATCTCAATACTCAAGAGGCTGAGGCAGAGGAATTGCAAGTTTTAGACCTGCGTAGGATACATAGCAAAATCCAATCCTTAAAAAAAAACTAGATTTAGGCATAATTAACATAAAAGTTGTACATTTTTCTATGTTGATCAAAAGATATGAACTTGATGTTATAAAATGAGTAAGTTCTGGAACCTAAAGTCCAGCATAGTTAATAGTAGTGTGTTCTCCACATGATGTTTGCTAAAAGAGCAGATCTTAAGTAATCTCACCATACACACTCACACACAAGGAACTGGTAGCTGATAGATATGTTAGTTGGCTTGATCGTGGTAATCATTTTGCAATATGTATATATATGTTTATCCTAATATCACATTGTTCTCTTGAAATACATTTCTTTTTTCTAATTTCAGGTATAATTTGGGTGACTACAATGGAGAGATCATGTCTGAGGTTATGGCACAAAGACAGCCAATGAAACCTACTTACACCATCCCTATCATCCCTATCACTAACAGCAGTCAGTTTAAACATCAGGAAGTGATGGATGCGAAGGAGTTTAAAGTTAATAAGGTGATTAGAATGCTTGTGATAGTAGCATCTGATTATGAGGTGGTGTTTTATCATTAGAATGAAAGTAAGGAGAAAAACACATATAAACTCCCATAACTTTCATGATTATGGCATATTATGAAGCAAAGTGGAATCCCATAATTAAAACTTTATTTTTGTTTCTGTTATTTTCTTTAAAAGGGAAGATTTTGTTACTGTATCTGATAAGAGTATTTTACTACTATAGGAAGATTATAAAGTGTTGAAATAATTTAAACTAAATATGTGGCTTTGGAGAGAGGAACATGAAAACCTTCCTAATGTGATTTTATCTTTTATGAACACATCCATGTGTAAGTGGAATGAAAAGTGAGAGCTAACTCGGGTATCTCTTTAATATTACATAATTTATAACATAATATGTATTATTTTTACATATTAATATAATGTATTATAGATGGTAGTTTAGAAATGGAAATATTTTGACAAATTAGTACTTAACCAAATAGTCTGCAATTTGTGAGGAAGACTGGGGAAAATAAAGGAAAGCAGTCAAGTGCACCTTCTTGAAAAATATGCATCTAGGAAAAAAGTATTTTATGGCTTTTTTTGTATGAAACTTAGTGTAAAACGTAAAACTTGCCAGTCTAGTTCCGGAACAAGTTTTTCGTCAATTTTGTTATCTCCCCTGTGTTTTTTAATATGTTTCTGCAGTTCTTTTGTTTTGGTGAGGACACATGCCTTTAAACTCATGTATACAATTTGCCATACCAGTTAGCATAATGATTTTCATAGCCTGGACTTTTTTTCCTGCCACATAGAACAATGCCAGGAATCATTTTATGAGAAAGCATGGATGTTTTAAATTTTAAAAGTATTGGGGAGATTGGTCAGGAGAATAAAAGAATTAAATCTAGGTGGAGGGTTATACTCAAATGTTTCCTTTTATTCATATAAATATACATGACCCACATCCACATTTACATTTTATAATTAATTTAAATTTTCTATTAATTTAAATTTATAATTTACTGATCCTAAATATGCTATTTAAATTTAATAGGATCTTTCCCAATTTTAGCATTTTAAGTCTTTGGTCTCCCTGTCCCATCCCTATGTGGCTTTAGAGATCATTTAAATTACCCTTCAGTTATCTTATTCTGTATTATCTCTTCTGTATGTGCTAGAAATGTGAGCCCTCACACCTGAACGTGCTTTAAATTCTTCCAAATTAAGACAGTCTTTAATGGAATTGATTCTATTATCTTGATCATTTTTATTATAAATTAAAGTAATTGGATCTTAAACTTTATTGAATAAGATAAAGCTTTTGAATTGTAAGAAAGTTGGAGTTAATAATGCTATCTGAAGCAACATTCTAGCTGACCACTGATAATAAGTTTTAAGTAACTTTTTGCATTGCCATAGACACCTTTTGATTCAAGTATTTCCTATCAATACAGTGGTAGAAATTGTAGAAAGATACCTTATAGTTTAATAATTTTCCCAAAAAACTGTAATGCCATAAACTACGTAAGACCTAACATGACCAAGATAACTTGCCATGATCTGTTTCTTCCTAACAAATATAATTTAGGTTCTTAATCTTCTTAACTAATGCCTACTGATCAAATTCATACTTCTCCTAGCCTTTGCCATCATTTGACATACATATTTCTAATGCATGCTGTGTTCATCAACTCTGTCACTCTTACATCTGAATTTTATCATGGGTTTTTCCCTGTTTAATGATTTCATGGTCTCATCCTCTGAAACTGGAAAATCTACACTCCATCATTGTTCAGCTAGCAAATCCTTACTGTTTATTTTTATGACCTCTTAGAATTAGGGCTTTATTTCTTGCTTGTTAATAACTGTCTATAGTTTGCTTTGTGCATATGAAATTGTTTTCATACTCTTTTTTTTCCTATACTGATTTGTTATTCTTGAGAGTAAGGAGTGGACATTCTTTTTTTATTCCCTCCTAGAATTTGCATAAGAAACTAAGAAACATTATAGGTCCCAGTGGTGCATACTAATTTGTTGTAATACTTCAGAAGGTGGAGAATTTCTGTTCTCTCCTTTTACTTTAATTGAAACAATAGTTTACAGAACTGTTTTAGATAATAAGAAATAGTCACACTTTCAGAGACCAGCTTCTCTAAGACTGTACAGCATAGCCAGATATATTAGTCGTGTGTCTCTTAGGAATATGAGGGCCTTCGTTATAATAGTAAACTTCTTTACAAATTTCCCAAAAAATTGCAAGTTTGTAAAACATGGTTTTAGTGTATAATTAATTTTATTATAATGAACCTTTGTTGCAGCAAGATAAAGCTGATCTTATCCGACCTAAACGGAAATATGAAAAGAAGCCTAAAGTCTTACCATCGCCTGCTGCTGCTACTCCTCAACAGATGAGTCCTGCTGCACTGCCAGTCTTCAATGCTAAAGATTTAAATCAGTATGACTTTCCCAGCTCAGATGAAGAACCTCTCTCCCAGGTAAATAAGACAAGACTTCTGCAAATATAGGGGAGGAATTATAGGAGGCACATGTTTGACCTATTTCATTTACTGTATTTTAAAGGTTTTGTCTGGCTCTTCAGAAGCTGAGGAAGAAAATGACCCTGATGGTCCTTTTGCTTTCCGTAGGAAAGCTGGCTGTCAGTACTATGCTGTAAGTTTCAGACTCTTTGTAAATAACAAATGGCAAACTGTTTGTCTTAAACTGACAAAATAATTTGGATTTTTTTTTTTTCAAAGCCTCACTTAGACCAAACTGGCAATTGGCCTTGGACTAGTCCTAAAGATGGAGGATTAGGGGATGTGCGATATAGATACTGCTTAACTACTCTCACTGTACCCCAAAGGTGTATTGGATTTGCACGACGACGGGTTGGGCGCGGTGGAAGGTAAATCATTTCTGTATTCCTAGCATAGGGATATTTTTGACATTAGGTTAATCAGACTTAAAGTTTAAAGTTAGGCAGTCCTTCTGAGCAGTCTGTTAGTTCCTACTTCATCTTTTTTATTATTATTATTATTATCATATTATTGTTGTACTGGGGGTACATTGTGACATTTACAGAAGTTCTTAAAATAAACCCCCTCCATCATTCTCTTTTATCCCTCCTATTCATGGGATAGTTTCAACATGTCTCATTTTTACATTTACATACATGAGTACGTAATATTTCTATCACATTCACCCTCCTACACCTTCTCCTTATATTTCGCTCTCTCCCCACTGGTACCAACCCCCCAAATAGGATCTGTTTTGGCTTCCTGTTCTCAGTTTTTGAAAAAAAATTGTTTTAAGATAGCTATGCAGGGTATTTTCATTGTGACATTTCCATGTATATATGTATTATAACCTGAATTAGTTCATCCCCTCTGTTTTTCTCCTTTCCACCTTAGTCCCCTTTTTATGATGATTTCATCTGGTTTAAAAATTCTATATCCATACTTGTGTAGAAAGCACATCAATCATATTCACCTTCTTAACTTTCTTCTCTTCTTCCATCTCCTGTGACCTCCCCTTAGCATGACCTGTTTTTCATAATATTGCTTGTATTTGTATTGGGCCTATACTTCACATATAAGAGAAAACATGCAGCCTTTGGCTGTCTGAACCTAGCTAACGTTACTTAGGATGATGTTTTCCAGTTCCATCCATTTACCTGCAAGTGACAAAATTTCTTTCTTCTTTTTGGCTGAATAAAATTCCATCATATATAAGTACCACATTTTCTTAACCCATTCCTCAGTTGTGGAGCATCTTGGCTGTTTTCATAGCTTAGTTATGGTGAATAATGCAACAGTAAACACAGACGTGCATCTACCTGACTTAAATTCCTTCGGGTATATCCCCTAGGAATGGTATTGCTGGGTCATATGGCAGGTCTATTTTCAGTTTTTTGAGGAGCTTCCATACTGTTTTCCATAATGGCTTTACTAATTTACATTCCCACCTACGGTATGTGAGGGTTCCTTTTTCCCTACATCCTAGCCAACATTTGCTGTGTTCTTGATGATAAACATTCTAACAGGAGTGAGGAAGTTCCTACTTAATCTTCCTAATTTCTTTGCTGAAATATTTTTGCCACTCTTCTACTTGGTTCTTATAGTATCATAGCTCACATAATGGTATATAATTCTAATGGTTCCCAAATGGACTTTTCTCCTTGGTACTGAAAACCTCAGGTATCAGGGGATAGAATTGTAAGAAAAGGGAGTAGATAGGCTGGAGATGTGTGGCTCAAGTTACAGAGTGCCTGCCTAGCAAGCTCACAGACCTGAGTTCAATCCCAGGACTACCAAAAGAAAGACAATAGATGAAGACATGTAAATCTTGTTTGCACACATTGTATTAGGTTAAAAGAGGGCAAATTTAGTTAAAGTATATTACATTTATGTATGAGAATAGCATAGTGAAACTGTTTTGTACAATTATATGCTTAATTTTTAAAAGAGGGGAAAAACTACAAAAAATGTTGAGTTCTAAAAGAAGGATTAAGTAGGTCAAGAACATTACCTAAGATAATGGTTGTTTTCAGTGAAAAGAATCCACGTAAGAGCCAGTCTTGACCCATCCCAATTTGTCAGGATATGATCAAACTCCTTCATACTCTTAAGTGCCTTCGGTGAGAGGTGTTTGTATTGAGGAACACATAAATCTTTGAAAAACATTTTTTGGGGGAGGCATGGGGAACCTTTATCAGAAATTGAGATTTGGGCCTAAAAGAGCTATGTACTGAAATAGACACCTTTACAGCTTTTAAATCATTGTACTTTTATTCAGCTTTTTGGGAGCTGGGGGAGAAAAGGAAAATCTTTTATATAATCTTTGTCTATCCTTTTAAATGCACATTTTGTATGTTTTTTTTCATAGGGTCTTACTGGACAGAGCTCACTCAGACTATGACAGTATGTTTCGCCACCTGGATTTGGAAATGCTTTCCTCACCACAACATTCTCCAGTCAATCAGTTTGCCAATACCTCAGAAACAAATACCTCGGACAAACCTTTCTCGAAAGACCTCAGTCAGATACTAGTCAATATCAAATCATGTAGATGGCGGCATTTTAGGCCTCGGACACCATCCCTACATGACAGTGACAATGACGAACTCTCCAGTAGAAAGTTATATAGGAGTATAAATCGAATAGGAACAGCACAACCTGGGACCCAGACATGCAGTACCTCTACGCAAAGTAAAAGTAGCAGTGGTTCAGCACACTTTGGTATGTTTGTTTGCGGTATATGGCTCTATAAAATTGTTGGGTTTGTCCCCTTTTTTTTTTCTGGGTACTGGGGATTGAACTCAGAGTCTTTTGCACTCTACCACTTGAGCAAAATCCCTCAGCCTTTTTGTTTTCATTGTGGTTTTGAAAGTAGTATAACTTTGCCTGGGCTGGCCTCAAACTGGTGATCCTTCTGCATGCTCTTCTCAAGTCGCCAGGATTAAAGACATGCACCACCACCACCCTAGGTGGCCTATTTCTTTGAGTATGAAATCTGTTACATCCATGGCTAAAAGTACAGAGTATTTGTTTGAATCTTATTCAGTAATACTGTTGCTATAGGAGTTTGTATATGTGTCTTCATATAAACATATCCATAAAGAAAGGTGATTGTTACTTTTTATTTAGCATGTGACATGTGTTACCTGGAAGCAGTTGGTAACTTATAAGATCCAATCAATTTTAAATAATAGGAAAAGAAAATTAACCTTAAATTTTACCATTTTATATTTAAACAGTTATCTGGTCTGCTTAAAAGTCAATAGGTATGCATAGCTTACATGCTGGCACAAAAATTCAGAATAATTTATGAAAGAAACTGAAATTTCAGAGAAAAAATATAAAATTAAAGGATTAATATTTTTAGAAACTTCTGTCTACTTTATTATTATGTCTACACTGTGGAATTATGTAATACAAGTGCTCCCTACTTCAAATATTCCAATCTTAGCTTTCTGTTTTAAAGCATAAGCCTGCATTATTTGAGGCACACCAACCACTTCACTTAAAATTATGTTACTACAGATTTTTTTAAGGTAGTTTACATTCAGACTCTGAAGATACTATAAAGTTAATTATTCTGTTTCCTAATCACCTGTTAAGGTTACAATTAAACTGTTTTGTAAATAGGAAAAGTACTGTTAATTTATAGGCCCCCAGAAAAGTGCTCCATAAACTAATTTGCTTTGTGGTTATAAAATAAAAAAAAATATTCTTATGAAATGGAAGCCATTCAGTTCATGAGAAAAATATCACATTGCAGAATCAATTGGAACATAAGCAGTTTTCTGAGGCCTAACAGATTATATATAATTCCATTAATTTTACTATCTTTATCACCAAAAATCAGCTTCTCTCTGCTGTATAGTCTTACAAATCAAAATGAAGAACTTTCTTATATGAAGGCTTACATACAGTATGAAAGTGGAGATTTTAAAAGTAAAATTTATGTAATTTTTCCTGAAAATTAAGCTTTTTACTCTGTATAAAATTCTTTGAAACTTCTTGAAGAAAATAGCCATGTTCCATCAATCCACATCATCTCTGTCCCTAAAAACGAGAACCTGAGGTGTGTAACTATCCGAAGGATTTTATTATGACCTTTTATATAAATTATTTTACTATGGTACTTAAATAGGTAAATCAGTATCATTGCAAAACTTCCTTAGTTTGTTTGTGGGAGATCGTTAAAAGGTGAACATTGCCAGAAGCTAGCTTAAAAAATAAATAAATAAATAAACTTTAACTTTGTCATTTTTCTACTTAATCATTTCCTTCCCTATGTATATATATGTATTTTACATATATATAAGCCAATTTTAAAAAATAAGATGGGTTTATGTTTTTTGGGTCTTTTTTTTTTTTTTTTTTGTAGAACATAATTGTTTATAATGTCATCTTAAATTTTGCTAGACAATCCTATACTTAATAGATGCCTAGGTCCGGGGCATAGCTCAAGTGGTAGAGTACCCGCCTAACAAGCTCAAGGCCCTGAGTGCCCAGTACTGCAAAAAAAAAAACCTACAGATTACTATAGAGTAACATTATTTATTCTTTCATATTTTTTAATATTCTAGCAACCTAAAGCTATGCACAGTGTGGTCATATCATCTGTGCATTTAACTTAAATGAATTCATCTTAACAGGCCCCCTAGGGGGAGATAGCTATTCACATGTTATTGAGGATTCTAAGACCTTTTGTCCTAAAAGAATGTGTTTTCTAGAAAGAACCTAGAATGGGAGAAGTGAACCTACTCACTGTTCTTCCATACTGTCCTTGTCTGCTTTTCCACTTCTCTGTAGGTTAAGCTTCTGAACTCATTACAATTGTAGCTTTAAAAATAAATTTTATTTTTCATGCAGCATGACCCCCCAGATATAAACCAGACTTTTTCATCTGATACTTACACCAAAGAACTCCTGACTTGGTCTGGTGTGGTGCTATATTGAGATTACTGAATAAGGAAAAGAGCTTTCATCAGGGCACTATCAAAAAGAATTTCCAAGACTTTGTTTTAATCATATTGACTTGACCATTATATCAGATACAAGTCACCCAAATACATGGGTTGTAACTTAACTATATCTTAATTATTCAACTACTGTTATAAATATTAAAATTTATAATTACAAGTGACACAGGACTACCCTCTGACCTGATCCCTTTTCTGAATAATAATCCATGGGGTCTTATTCACTCATTTTTAAATAGGAAACTCTAAATATGGATTTCTGGAGTAGCTTGTTTCAGCTGCTCAGAACCTTACTTGCCTGCTTTCTCTGTCTTAGCCATTTTGCAGAGTTGTGTAACCACATGGTATCCTAATAAGTCCAATGTTAAGTAGCTTCCTTAGGCAGGTATCATTGAGTGCTTGGTCCTCTGCATACTGTGCAGCAGAACAATGCTGAGGAACTCAGTTATTGATGTACATTTAGAACTTAAAAGACTGAGCTAAATTGTTTATTTTTAATGGTCATTGTTAATATGAGATTTGGTCAGTTTCCAAACATAGTTTTCTAAGTTTTTAAATCTATAATAGTGCCTTTGAAAATGTAATGTTTGTTCAGTGACTGAGTATCCAATTTGTGTGTTTGAGTTGGAAGGATATAAAATAACAGAATTAATGCATTTTCATAATTAGAAAGGATTCTTATGTAATCGTATTTATATAATTCAGAAAGACCAAAAACAAAATGATTTTTAACGCACAATGATAGTGAATTTGAATTTCTAGTTCCCTATAAATTTCATCAGCATTATAAGCCATTTTTCTAAACTCACATATCTGTACTAAAGATTTGATTATTTTCATAAGTAAATAGAATATCTGTGGCTACAATTAGTATGTTTAACTAATTGTTAAGTATGCTTAAGTATATGTGACTCTAGTTTGTGATACAAATTTTTAATCTTACTGTAGAAAAGGAACTCTAGATTTGAGCACTGAATATTTTAGCTATTAATATTTCATGAATTTCAGGACCTTTAATCTGTACTCAGATGTTTCATTCTGAATTTTCTCACTGTGGAGAGTGAATTTATCGTATAGCATCTGTAGCAGAGTCTGGAGTGTCACTTATAATAAAATACACTGGTAGTTCTACAGTTGTGTAACAGTATGCAAGAATAAAGTATACCTTTTGATAATTTAGAATCTGTCTTCCCTAGCTATATGAAATGGCTTATTTCTTTCTGAACACGTGTCTCCCTCATCACCCCACACCCATGAAGTATTTCAGTTGATCTACAGAGCAGCAACCTGAACTATAGGCTATTTCAGGTACTGGTGTATCACACCATGGTTTCACTGTATTAGTGGATTCATAAAGTCAGGTTCTTTCATACAAATTCATAACCCAGAGAGGTGCTTAGTTAGAAGTTACCAGAACAAAGGTAGTTTCTAGCTTCTACCTAAATATTTCAGATGAGAGAAAATTCAACAACTTTATAGATCAAATTATCCTATATTTGGGGGTCTTGGTTAGACAGTTTGTCCATACACTGAACCAAAAACTGCCTCCTTAAATTTAAACATACAGTTTCATGTTTTATGCATGGAAGCATTCTGAGTAAGTGTGCTTGCTTTCCAACATCATACTGTCCTTCAAATACTTAACATCCTGTCATGCTTCCCTCTCTAGTCCCAGTTTCTAGTTAAATGTTCTCAGCTTTTAATTGTGTCATACATGATTCTTCTCCCCCACATAAAATTTTGTTCATTAGGTGCTCTGTATGTGAGGATTTTAAAAGCAGTTGACTCATCCTGGTAGTACATTAAAAAAGAGTTTATTATTTCTTCGAAATAGGAAACTTAAAATTTTTGTCTATTTCTTTTTAAATTTAGAACTCATTGATTTGGTTTTGTTACTGCTTTCCTTCCTGCTACTCAATATCTGTGTGACCTCAGGCAAAACTTTGTTCATATCTCCTAATCACAGTTTTTTTTGCTTCTATTAAGTGTTCTGATTCTAGATTTGATCATTGGTTTGTAGTAACTATCTTGCCCATTTTTGTGTGAATTGCAAATTTGTCTACCGCACTTTATCTGGACATAGATATACAACTAAAATCATTTCTACCTTGATAATGTTGATTTATATAAATTTTGAGAGATATGGCCATTTTTATCTTTTCCATTTAACATTTGGTTAGAGTTTTGAGTTATTATGGTGCCATGACCTTGAATGCTTTTGGGTTTTCTATAATAATAATAATAATATAAAACCCAGTTCAGATTGTATCTGTCCAAACTTATTACCTTACCTTTGTAGGTAATGATCCTATTCATACACACATCCTTTTGAATTGGAATTTTATTTCTTGTAAGAAATAAGAAATCTTAGCATCTCATAGCTTAATACTCAAATAAGTTAATCTCTTTCACAATTAGATGAAGATAGTAAGTCACAAAAAGTTAAATAACTTGACTGAAGAATACTCTGATAAGGGCTGACAGAATGGTTCAAGTGGTAGAGCTCCTGCCTAGCAAGTGTGAGGCCCTGAGTTCAACCCCCAGTGTCACCAGAAAAAACAGACAGAGAATACTCTGAAAGTCATTAGAGCTCAGGACTTAACATGCCAAGTTCTCTTGGCCCCTAGACTTATGATTTTTATTACCTCCACTACCAGCTTCTATGTAGCTGTTTGTTACATAGATCATTTACCAAAAACATTCAGGTAAAATTTCATAACTAGACAGGCAGCATCACAATAGCTAACAAATAGACTAAATGTGTAGTCTAAAATATTTAATGATTAATGGTTTAAATATTGGTTGTGTTTTTATTTCTCAATCTATGTTAGAAAAAAGCTAGCAATTGTTAAAAAGTGAAATTCACCAGACTTTCAGAAACTAAGATTAATTTAAATGGGGCAAAGATATTCAGAACTTTTTTCAAAATTGATTTCTAAGAATTCTTTCATATATAAATGGAGTCTTGATCATACGTCTTCAGTGAATTACTGTTTTTCTGTATGTGTAATGACCAAATCTTCCCAAAAGCTCCATTTTTAAAAATATGTACTGAACATTCTCCACTAGAACACTCAGGGCTGAGGCAGCACACTCAACACTGTAGAAATTAAAGTATAAATCTCAAAAATATATTGGTAAAAATATTTAATAAATGACAGATCCTTACATTTTAAGCATGTGGTTTTTAAAATTTTTTTTAACATAAGGGTAAATACTATGTTAACTATGAGCATTCTTTCAGGGCAACATTAATTTTTGTAAATTTTCTTCAAGCTTTGACCCAACACATTCTAATTCATGGAAATGGCCATGTTGACAGAAAGTTGCTTTTATGTCAATATTTCGGGATCATCTAGTTATTAATAAGTCTTCCCTGTAGATTTCAGGTCTGTGGATTGTAAGCATAGTAGGAAAAGGAACTCAAATCAAAGGACAGATACCAGTTTAACATAGATTTGTAATACACACACAAAATAAGAAAATCATTAGAAGAATTTTTTTTTCAACAAGAAATTACGCTTTTTGCTCTTGTAGTCTGGGTATGCACTCAGAATTTAACAAGGTTCGTGAATATTATTCCATGGCTTTCTGATCCATTTAAAACATGGGGGAATTTGATACCTAATCATTTATATTTGTACCAGGCAGAAAAAGTATTCTGTGGGGCAGTAAAGGATTCTTCATGAGTGAAAATTAGAAAACTTGATGAAGTGATAAAATTCTAAGTAGATTGCAGCAGTTAACAAAAATTAGATGGCAGTATTTTGAAAACATCAAACTAGATTAAGGAAATTTGCATGATTTATAGATTCCCTGGTACCCAGGGATGCATGATAACTTTTTTGTTTGTTTTGTTTTAAAATAATTCTTACTCAGACATCACAGGCTTCTTAAAGAAGTCTTTAAAGTCAGATGTATTGTGATTATATGTGCTTTTTTTTTTCCTTTTTTTAATTGGCAGAAAAGAAAAAGGTTTCCTTTTTAAAAACTGCACACACTTTTTTGGGGGGGTAATAAATGAACATTTTTTTGTTTGTTTTTTTTAGAACTGAGCTCTCCATAGACAAACATAAGTAGCATAACACAGTGTCTTTCCTCAGACATCATTCTGTACAGTAAATCAACATAAACAACTCCGTTCTTATTGACTGGATTTTTTCCAGGTGGGTTAATTGGGTGGGGAAAATTAACCTTAACATTGGAGCCTCTTTTCTTCCTGTTAAACTTAAAAGATGGGTTCTTTTTAAAAAGAAAAAAAGGTAATAAACTTACTTTCATAGAGAGGAAATCTTTTTAATGACTAAAATATATAGAAGTAAGTATTTATACACAGCTATTAAGAATGGTCTGAATGCATTGGGAAGGTAATATGGATATAAAATATAAACCAAATAGTAGTTGCCAGATTTCTTCTCAAGCTCAGTGAAAAGTTGAATTCCAAGTCTATGAATATAAAAAGCTGATACTACTTTTCTACAGTGTCTAGCACAAGTGCCACAGCTTTGGTGTTGAAACTTGGGAAGTGAGCAGTTCTCTTTCCTAGGTTTAATTCAGGAAGCTTAATTTTCTTTTTCATTAAATTCCAGCCACTCTTGTTAAATTTTCATTTGGAAGTGATCTTTATCAGGATCATGAGCCTTTACCAAATGCTTTAATTTTGCACAAAATAAAAATTTAAATGCTGGATTGTTTTACTGTTGTAAGTATATGTGATGTCTGTGCATTTTTATAAAGTGTTTCCTTATTTTATGTTCAGCATTTACAGCCGAACAATACCAGCAACATCAACAGCAACTGGCACTAATGCAGAAACAGCAGCTTGCACAAATTCAGCAACAGCAAGCAAATAGTAATTCCTCCACCAACACTTCACAGGTGAGGGATTTGTCTGTCTTATGATTATCCCTCATTGTTTCCCACCAGAGTTCATCTCTAATTACCAACTGTTGTCATAGAACCTTGCATCTAACCAGCAGAAAAGTGGCTTTCGCCTGAATATACAGGGTTTAGAAAGAACATTACAGGTGAGTATGGAAGTTATTGCCTCTGCTCCCTATTTTAAAAAAATAAAATAAAAAAGTATACTTAAATGACATATAGATGCTGTTTGACCTATAGTTTATTAAGTTACCTCCTTAATATATAACCCCACACAGTTCATTATCGTAGTCAGTTTAATTATTTAAATTTTTAATTATACCAAAACAACCTCTTCTCTTAGAAGATATTGGTCTTAAACCTAAAGCATGATAAATATTTGCCAGGCAGACACATTTTGGGGTTAAAGACAAATTCCATTCTCTAGGTATCTTGTAGGAAACATTCATTTTTAAAAAGTCAAGGGGTTTCTCAATTTTTAGTTTAAATTATGAGGTTATTTTACTACCTTCATTTCTTAAAGGGTAGTTAATTTTATCTTTGGGTATGTGGGGAACAAGTAGGTGGAAAACTTTTGCATACTTATGTATTTCACTGTATGTATTTGCAAATCACTGAAATGCAAATCACTGAGCAGCATATTTCTTCTCCAACATTTGTGTTGGAGGTTTTATTTACTGTCTACACATTCTAAAGGGCTTGTTTTGGTGGTTGACTTGCACATATATATATTAACACTTTCATAATCCTTGAGCTAGACAGTTACTTCAATCCTCCAGTTTATGACTGCAAAAGAAATGAAGAGATTTCAGTGGTTTGCCATTTTCATTTATATTCAAGCTGATTTTGGTATACCTGTATAGCTTTGATATTAATTTTAGACTAAGTTAGTACTGATTAGATTTCTTTTTTATTTTCTTTTTAGGGTTTTGTTTCCAAGACTTTGGATTCTGCTAGTGCTCAATTTGCTGCTTCTGCTTTGATGACATCAGAACAACTGATGGGATTCAAGATGAAGGATGATGTGGTGCTTGGGATTGGGGTGAATGGCGTCCTTCCAGCCTCAGGTAAAGATAAAGACATTTATACTGCTTAAACTATATTTAGATATAATCAAATGATATATATGTATATATTATATGTAAATAACATACATATAAATATATTTTTATGTATTATAATAGGAACCACAAATTGCACAATATTTAGATGCTTCTTTCTTTTTCTCTCCAGGAGTATACAAGGGCTTACACCTCAGTAGTACTACACCAACAGCACTTGTACATACAAGTCCATCAACAGCAGGTTCAACTTTGTTACAGCCTTCAAACATTACACAGACTTCAAGTTCCCACAGTGCACTGAGTCATCAAGTAACTGCTGCCAATTCTGCAACAACTCAGGTTCTGTTTGGGAACAACATTCGATTAACTGTACCTTCATCAGTTCCCACTGTAAACTCTATTACCCCAATAAATGCACGACATATACCTAGGACTTTAAGTGCTGTTCCATCATCTGCCTTAAAGCTGGCTGCCGCAGCAAACTGTCAAGTTTCCAAGGTCCCATCTTCATCCTCTGTAGATTCAGTTCCAAGGTGAGTAGTTTTAAGCCTAAAAATGTTTGAAAAATATGATAACTTAAACTACTGGCATGGCTATTTCTCTGTGTTTCTCTTCTTTTAGTTTTAAATATTAAAAGTGTGCAGATGAGAATTGGTACCTTATTTATTCAAGCAGGTAAATGTTGTGATTCAATATTAGTTGAATTCAACATTAGTTGAGAATTTCAGCCAGTTCACTGGTTTGATGTAGTGCATACTAAATACATGATTTGGACATACAGTAGCTTAGAACTTCTCATTTTTCTCCTGCCTTTGGATGGTAGGAGTTCTTTAGAATATTTCTTGTTCAATATTTCTTCCACAGCTTCTGTGTGAAGAAGAATTGATAGAATCCACCATCATGAATATGCCAAATTGCACTTTAATTATGTAAATAATATAAAGACTTACAGTATTCATGTCAGGTCAACTTTTAATTAACTTCTTGGGTTTCAATAGACTGTTTAGGATTTTGCTTAGGCTCTATTATGTTTTAAATAAAAATCCACTGTTCACAAGGTAGTAGGAGAGAAACAGAAAAAGATATGTGCCTTTTCAGTGTAGGTAGAAATAAGCTTAAAAGTATAAAAAGTTAATAATGTTGAAATACTTCACATAATAAAAAAAATTCCAGAGGTATCTTAAACATTATATGTTCTCAAAATAATTGTATAAAGTATGTCTATAATTTCAATATAAGGAGAAATCTTTTCACACCAGGGAAATTCTGGGAATGCCCTACAAAACATCAGATTTGACCAGTATTTGTTTTGACAAAGAAGAGAAAGGAGAAAAAGGAGGCAGGTGGAGTGGGCAAAATGGAAATACAAAATAGGGAAGATACAAGGGTTAGTGGTTAATAAATTGGGTTTCCTAGAAAGGTTGGTAGAAAATTGAAATGACAGGAAAATGGCAGAGTGTGGGGCACCGTGAATCCCAGACCAATGTTTAGACTTCCACAGACAGTAGTGGTGCAGAGGAAGGAGTAGCACTGTGTAGCCTTAAGTGTTTCCAAGCCCATGTTTCCCTGTCTGCTTTTCTAAACTTAAGTAGGAATCATTTTCTGCTCACTACCAGTACAGTTTTATTGGATCTAGTCCTAGCTAACCAGTCAACTATAGCTCTGACTTATATGTATATAGCATCATGAATTTTATTGCTGTAGAATTGTATAATCATGAAACATTTGCAGTATATGGAATCTTTTGTATCCCTGTCCCTTTGTTTCAAAGATGAGGAAATACAGCTGGTTATGGTGGTGTACATCTATAATCCCAGCACTTAGAGGCTGAGGCAGGAGGATAATGAGTTCCAGGCCAGCCTAGGTTATAGCAAGTTCAAGGCCAGACTGGGTTCCACAGTGTGATTCTGAGAAAAAAAAATAGAGAAGAATTAACAGACTTTTTCAGGGACATTCAACCCTCATAAAAACTAGAACCAGGGTGGTCCAATTACTAGCACAGTTCTTGTCCCACTTATCTGAATTTATTTGGACCCTGACTTAACGTCCTGACATGAACCTTTATCATATTTATTCCTATTTTCAACTCTTATAAAAGGTTTAATATAGGAGGAAACTGAAACTGCAATTGCCAAACTGTAGGACTTTTTTTTTTTTTTTTTTTTTTGCTGGTACTAGGGCTTAAACTCAGGGCGTTATGCTTGCTAGGCTTGCTAGGTAGATGCTCTTAGAACTTGAGTCACTTCACCAGCCCCTAGGAAATTTGTTTTTTTTTAAACACCTAAGTCACTTGAGTGTTACATAGTTTTACTGGTAATATAGTTGGACAGTGGAATTTATACTTGACCTCAGCCTGATATCTTACTGTATATTCTTGATAATAAACTATAAGGTTTCATATTTCTGTACTTATTCTCGTGTCCTAAATGAGTCAGGTTTCTTCCTGTCATTAAAAATAATTAAACTTTTCATTGTAAAGGTAGTCTTCATTTGCTATATCTGTATGTTATACATAAGTAATTGAAGTTTTTTCCAACAGAGAAAATCATGAATCAGAAAAGCCAGCACTGAACAACATAGCAGACAATACAGTAGCGATGGAGGTGACGTAGCTTCCTCAGGAGTGGAATGCAGCCTGGGGACATGATTAGGTGCTATGCATCAGTAGCATTGAATGCAAGGGATGACGGAATGCAGCACATGCGTTTCTATGGCAGCTGTGGGGACTTGACAGCAATGCTCATCTCTCATGCTTCAATTTTTCTTTTCTTACTGTTAATAGGAAAAAAATCAACATCTGTAAATTAAGAATACAGCAATTATCTGTACAGTACTGCATATTTGTAATACCCTTGTATATATGTTACTTGAATACAGAAATGTTCATTTGTGATGCTTTGCACTTGGGGGTGGGGGGTGGGGGTAATAAATTGCAACAAAGAGTGTGAGATGTGAGATTGTATAGAGATGAAGTGTCATCACATCATGTGCATGGTGCGGAACCTGCTGTTTTATCTATTTATTGTGCCGTGTTTACAGTTTTTTGTACACTGTACCTTCATTGGTTCCTGTGCTGTAGTAAATGTGTTAGGTAGCTGTGGACTCCTTGGTATTTTGTAAATGGTATAACATAACTTGGTTCCCCTCTGGGTCCTTGAGTTTTCTGTGTATCATGTGAAAAAAATGGTGACATACATACAGAATTTTACAAAAAAAAACAAAAAAGGCATCAGTTTTTTAAACATGGGGAATGTACTGTTAAATGGGGATCTTCCTGGTCTACTACTATTAGGACGAGTAACAAGCTAAAAATGAAGTCTCTTGAATCCTCCCATCCCCACCTGCCCACCAAGCTGTGGGTGGTTTCTGGTACTTAAAGCACTAATGTTATGTTGCTGCTCTGCAAACAGCCCAGTAGTCCCATTTCCTTCCACACCAAAAAGTGTTAAATCAAGTATGCAAATGGAGTCCTTACAACTGGAGTTTATGTTGTCTTGCCCTTTTTTTAGCACAAAAAAAAAACTGTACTTTTTTATTGTCGAATTGTTTAAAAGACTTCATTCTTTACTTGTTCTTATAAAAAAGGATATAAGGGAGAAGAATGCAGTAATTGCTGTACGTGTATCATCATTCCAGTATCTAAAAACAGCCAGCCAGCTTTTTTCCTTTTAAGATTCTCCAGAAGGCTGCAAGGCCAGAACCACAAATATCGGGTGCCTTCCTTTGGAAATATTTGACCTCTCTTCTGTGAAGAGAATGGTACTTAACAGACTACTACTAGTGCTTTGTCAGTACCGAAGTCTGAATGCCCAGTCCAATGGCATACATTATCCTTAAGGTTTTTAATCCCACCTGGAAAAATTGTGATAGAATTCTCACAAAATAAACCCAGGGCATTACATGTTGACAAACTAATGTGTAGTGGTCTTTTGCTTTTATTTTCAACCCAAGAACTTTTGTGCTATTTTAATTATAATTATTCCATAAGGGGGGGTGATAACTTCATGTTCATCTCAACAATTATTTATTACATGACTAATGACTACTATATGCCTGGAACCGTTTTAGGTCCTATAGCAATGAGGGAAATAAGAACCTGCTCTCATGGAACTTATGATCTCATTGGAGAGAAAAGTTAATAAAATTTTAAATGTATTGTGATTTGTGTTAGGAAGAAAAGTAAAGCAAGTAAGGGGAAAGACAGTGCCAGGGTGGGCAAGAGGTTACAGTTTCTGGTAGGGAGCCAAGGGAGGGCTTATAGGTGATTATATTTGATAAGATACTAGGAATAAGGAAAAGCATTCCAGGTGGGGAGAAAAGGCACAGAGGTCCTGAGATGGAGTGTACTTCAGTGCTGAAGGAGCAGCAGTGTGTGTAGAGCACAGGGGACAAAGAGTGGGTTAGCAATGAGGAGCAGCTTGTGGAGGCCTGATGGATTATGACAAGCACTCAGGCTTGTCCTGTGCTTGAGACAATTTATGGACTGGGGCATGGCTCAAGTGGTAGATCGCCTGCCTCACATCTCCAAGGCACTGAGTTCAAACCTCAGTACTGCAAAAAAAAAAAAAAGTTTGGAATAGAAGAGCAAAGGGCCCTGATGAGGCTCATTCTGGTTTCAGTATCCAAACCAGAATACAGGGAGAGCCCAGTTAGGAAACTAACCACAATAATTCAAGTGACAAGTGGCTGGATTTTATTGATATTTTTAGAGGGGCCTATTAAAATTTGCTTACTGAATAAAGATGTATGGTACATGAGAAGAGTTAAGGATAACCATAAGGTATTGGGCCTAAGCAATTGATTGCAGTTAAAAGCACTGTGGGCGGCGTAGATTTGGGGGAATATCCCAAGTTTGGTTTTGGATGGTTTAGATATCTACTACAAGTTTGAGGCCAGGGATATTGGTGAGATCACCAAGAGAGTGGGGTTAAATCAAATACAGCTGCCAGTGATGGAGTGTTTTAGGGTTAATCTTACCCTTATGGAATTCCCTGCCTCAAAAGGGATCAGAGTCAATATGAAAAACTTTTGTCTTACTGTACATTTTAAAGGGAAAACAGTTATCTATCATTTCTAGTGGCTAATCAGTGTGGCTAAAAACTTAAAACTCTAAACTGCTGGTTTAAATGTACTTGAAGATAATTGAGACTAGAATTAAAATTTCTGAAGTACACCCCACAGACAGAATGAGGCCCAGGTCCCCAAAGTGTACTTTTTTGTGTCTGCAGTCCACAGTCAAATTCATAAACGGATTGGGAAAGAAGAAAAATGAGTCCTCATCAAGCACCCCCAGTGAGGAACTTGAAATGAGTCTGCCCGGGGGTGGTTGGGCAGATGGTGAAAATCCATGTAGTGTTCTCTTACCAGACTAATTCTGAGATGTAGAAAGAACACAAGCTAATATGCATATTTTAAGATAAGATTTCCTCAAAACTGAATTTTTGGTTTCTGAACCATTTTTCCATATATTTTGCTACCGATGTAATAACTAGAAGTAAAGGACAAGATGCAAAAAGAAGCAATGTTAACACTAAGACCATAGGGAAAGTGAGAAATAGGTCATCAGGGAATCTCGATGGCTAGTCTTACAATTACCACTTACTAATGTAACAGACATTATGGGTAATCTTTTATCTTCACAAATGATCCATTTCAGACCTAGGATTATCACCAAATTACAAGTGAGAGTCACTCAAGGTCATTTGGCAGTCCAGAATTGGAACTCAAACCTGTTAGACTCCAGAGGTGCCATTGTTTGCCTAGCACTGTTTTGTGGATAAATAGATGAACATTGCTTCCTTAGAAACCACCCTTACCATTGTGTTCCAAAGAATCTGGTGCTAATTCCTTACCCTGGCATTGTTATCTTCTGTCCATTTCATGAGCTGAAACCCAAAACACCACCCAAACCATAGTTTGAGGGGTTTTGTTTGTTTCTGTTTGTTTTTTTGTTGTTGTTGGTACTAGGGTTTTTGAACTCGGCCTTGGTAGGCAAACCTCGTTACCACTTAAGCCACACCTGTAGTCATTTTTTGCTTTAGGATATTTTTTTTCAGGTAGGATCTCACTCTCTACCTGGAGTTGGCCAGAATGCAATCATCCTATCTATGCCTCCTGTTTGGCTTTAATGACAGGCGTGCACTTATACCGCATCTGGCTTGTTTTGTTGAAAGGGGGTCTTGAACGACGACCCTCCCATTCTCTGCCTCCAGAGTAGTTGGAATTACAGGTGTGAGCCACCACAACGAGCCGACTGGTTTTATGCCTGGATACAAATTTCTTATTTCAAAAAGGACTAGGTAAACTTCTCCAATCTCCAGATTTGCAAGGTTTTTTTTTTTTTTTTGGTGAATATTACAATAATGTATAATATGTTGCAAACAGGTAAGTAGAGCTTCACACTCATCACAGTGCCTGAAGTAAATCTTTTATAATACTCTTCAGAATTCTTTCAACAAAAATTCTTTTTTTTAAAAAGTTCAAAGATACTAGCAATAAAGGGATGAATAAGCAACACATTAATCCAGCAAATATAAAACTGCCAGGCACTACTGCAGATGCTGAGGACACAGCAGTGGTCAGTATCCCTGCCTCCTTGTAGCTTGCATTCTAGTAGGATGTGCATTGAATGGCAGGCTAGGAAAAATTAACGTTAAAGTTACAGGAGATAAGAAAATATCTAATTGAATCATTTTACTTGGGATTTTAAAAATAACACTTCTCCAGCCTAGGAAATTGTTTATGAAAGAACCAGATGACAAGTCCAGTATATTCTGAACAAACAGGTACAAAAGCTGAAAAGTAAATGTTTTACTTAGGCAAATGTGAAACCGTGCATTTTGGAGGAGCATCCAGTCTTAAAGATCTGCCATACATTTGTAGTTCAGTAAAGCAAAACAAAGGATTATTCAGGACCATTATTATTATAGAACAATGTTTACTGAAGGCTGTATTTCTGACTACGTGTATTTGTTTCCAGCTGCAGTAATAGATTACTACAAAGCTGATGGCTCAAGAGAACAAAAATTTATTCTTTCACAGTCTGAAAGCCATAAGTGCAGAATAAATTTCACTGATTTGAAATAATGTCAGCAGGGTCACACTCCTTTTGAAGGAGCTAGGGGTCGATCTGCAACTTGTCTTTTCTGGTTCCATTGGCTTCCTGGCATTCCTGTGTGGCAGCATCACCAGAATCTGTCTTCACATTCTTCTGTTCTCAAAACTCTCTCTGCCTTTCTCTAAGGCAGATGCATTGGATTGCATCTAGGGTCCACTGGAAATCAAGAAAAGGTCTTCCCCAGTCCATCACATTCTCTACTCTAGCCCCAATAGCTGGTTGTTGAGCACTTTAAAAGTGCCAGCACTGCTCAGGCTCTTTGCATCGCCCATGTCATCCTCACGAGGCCATTGTGTATGGTGATACAAGTTACGCTACTATTACCTACATGGCCCCATGTCATGGTGCACACCCCCATTCACAGATGAGAAATCCAACTCAGAAATAAAACACTGCTGTGTTCCCAACAACTGCAGTAGTCACTGGCATAGTTATTTGTTGGATCGATGTACTATTTTTCTATTCATTCCCCCATTGCTGTTATTTTCAAACTTTTTAACATAGCAAAACTTACTGTAAGAATTCATATATAGAACACCTATATGTAAAATATATGAAAAAACTTAGGGAATTGGAGAAACGGCAAATCTACACTTACAATTGGAGATTGCAATACACTTTCATCAATACTTGCTAGAACAAGTAGGAAATCCATGAGGACTCAGTTCGAACAGTATCAACCACCTTAATTTCAGTGACATTTGCAGAACACTATCCAACAACTGCAGAATACATTTGCTTTGCTTCAAATGCACAAGACACATTACCAAAATACTCATACTGTAGGCCATAATACAAGTTTCAAAAAATTTGAAAGAATTTAAAACATGCAAACTATTTTCTCTGAACACAATGAAATTAAATTAGGATTATAAATGAAATCTAGAAAATGCTCAAGTACTTGGAAACTAAATATTGCATGGGTCAAAGAAGAAACCAAGGTGGCAGGATGGATCAAGTGGTAGCAAGCATGAAGCCCTTGAGTTCAAACACCAGTACCACCAAAAAAAAAAAAAAAAAAAAATCAAAACGAGAACATTTTTAGCCTAGTGACAATTGAAGTACAAATACCAAAAGTTGTAGAATGTAGCTAAAAATAGTACTTACAAAAAAAATTAGGGCAAAAAAAGGAAGAGGGAGAGAGAGGAAAAAAAGAATAGAAGGAAGGAAGGGAACTAGATAAGTTAAACCTAAAGCAGAAGAATAGAAATAATACCAAAGTTTCTTTGATTTACAAGTCAAAGAAAAATTTTAAAGTAAAATAATAGAGAAAAGCAATGAAATCAAGAATTTGTTATGAGAACATCAGTAAGAAAAACCTATAGCCAGACTAATTAGAATAAAAAGGAGATATCACTACCAGTTCTACTGATATTAAAATAAGTACTAAAAACTTCATGCCAATAAATTTGATAAGTAAAACAGAAAAATTTCAAAACGCAAATAAAGCTTCCTCCAGAAAAAAATAGGTTGTTTTTAATTACAGAAAAAAGACTACCAATGTGCCCATAAATATCAATACAAAAAAAATTAAAAATTTTAGTGAATCAATTGTAGCAATGTATAAACAAAAGTCAGTATATCATAACCAAATGAGAATCAACCCCAAAATGACTGTGTGGCATATGTAGGTGACCAATGCCTGAGAAATTTACATAGCTTGCCATGACCCAGCATTGGAAGACAGCTGAAATTTTCCTTCTGTTTCTAAGAGGTTGTGGATAGAGCTTAACACAGTGTTACATCAACAACCAAAGATCAGACAGAAATGTATATCCCAGTATGGAATCAGTTGAGGCATCTGTGGTTTGAACCCTGGCTGAACCCTAGCTGTGACTTTGCATGAGCTAACTTTTTTCTAAACATCAGTGTTTCTCTAAAATGATAATAATAGTAGTGCCTGTCTTGTTCATTGCTTGGAGAATTTAATGAAAACATGAAAATAAGGTAGTCAGGCCAATGTTAAGAAGGAAAATATATATAACACAGTGTCTTTCCCCAAACATGATTAAACTTCAAACTGTTAAAATGGTGCAATTAGATAGAAACAAAAAATTCACAACTCAGCACTTGTTCTGGTTTTTTAATTT